CTAATCTATGTATTTCTACATGGCTTTATCTTACCAGAGAAAGCCTGGCTTGTCCTATCCTCCGGTCCCCCATGGTGTCTCCTTCTGGCCTTTTCTGCCTACCTTTTCTCGTCTCCTCAGCCCACCTATCTTCCTTCCTCTATTGGCCAGTGTTTTATTCATCAACCAATGAGAGAAATGATATACAGAAGGACATCCCCCATCAAGGGTTTATCTTGGCTCACAGCTTGAGGCTACCATCCATGAAGACCAGGAACTGATAGAGAGTCACCGGAAACTCAGCAAGCCCCTTGGGACTCCTGGGCACTTTGTAGCGCTCTCAGCCCTTGAGACCCATGCTCCCTTGTGTTGTAGTCCCAACAGCCCCTCCTACTCACTGCTCCTGTGTCAAGTCCCAACAGCCCCTCCTACTCACTGCTCCTGTTTAAGTGTCCTCCCCCACCTTGGCACTACATGGGTCCTCTGCCTATTCTGTCCAGAGGACAACTGCTGTAGTGCTCAGTGGCTCAGAGACAGGCTTCTCCATAGCACTCCGGAGCCAGGGGCATACCTCTTTGAATTCGCCACTCTTCAGCCCTGGAAACTTCCTTATCCCACAGCCAGGAGCCATTATTGTTGAGATTATAAAGCCATGCAAGGAGGTTCACCACGGTTAATTCCTTGATTCAGAAGTGGACAAAAAAGTTTGAATAGAATAGGTCAGGAAGTGAGAAACGCCCCAGAGGGAGAAGAAGATAGTCTGTAGTCCTGAAAGGGAGAAGGCTTTTCCGAATGCTAGCACTCATGAGCCATAGCTGGACCTGCGATCATTTTGATCAAGGTTACTTAATTTCCCTACACCTTTTGCAGTCAGGCAGGAGCGGGTTTTGGACGCATTCTGATCTGTGAAACACGGAACCAAAGCTGCAATAAATCATTTGCAAAATCCAGGCTCCGCTGCAGCTCTGGGTGTAGGCTCCTTCACCTACTACTCCTGCATGGTGAAGAAGATTCCAGCATTCGCCTGAGTGACAGCTAGAAGTAACTGTGCCCTGTTCTCTTTTTAAACGCCCGGAGTAACAGTGTGATGACTAGAGCTTAGGTCATCATGCTGGGTTTTGAAGAAGTGGGTTGTATTTTAGAACCAGGAAAATACTGAGTACTGCTTATCCTCTGTGCTTTACACTCACTTAGGCAATTACTATTACTTTTATGTTCTGTTACTCACAGTTAGGCTTCAAGGAAGGCACTAGCGATTGAGGATTTCATCATGAAAACACGGCAGAAGAAGGGGTCTTAGAGAACCTGGAAGCCACTATCCTAAGAGAATCCACCGAAGAAATGAATACCCAGTGTGCTTCACTGGTGTCAGCCAGCAAAGGCTCTTTAGCTGTGAGTATCACTGAGAACTATGGTTTGGATGTGGCTTGAACCTCTTGCCCAAGTGTCAGTGTGAGCTTGGTTCTCAGCATGAAGACGCTACTGAGCCACAGTAGAACTGTGCAAGGCAGAGCCTGCCTGTCTCTGGGCCGTTTGGAAGAGATAGAATTAATTCAAATGAGATTCTAAGTTCCCATGAAGCTGAATTGTTCTAAGAGAGCCTTCACTCTGCATTGGATCATCCCCTCCCACTTACACTCCTCAAATACCTTGAAAACCATGAGATAGAACTGTTAGACCCCCCGGAAAACTCAGGTATCCGGGGTCCCAGGCCACAACCGCGGTCACCCCAATCAGCAGGCAGATTCAAGAGCTTGCTGCAAACTGCATGAGGCTTTATTATAATTTAACGAGCTAACCCCATGTTTGCTTGGGTCTTCTGTCCACCCACCATGGCGGATGGCTCGCAAAAGACAGCTCGAACCGGCTGCAGAGAGAGATCTTGTAGGGCAGTGTAAGGGGAGTGTCTAGGGGTAGGCAGAGGCTCACGATTGTTGTGCCTCCAGGCTTGGAGGGCTTGCCCTGTGTTGATTGGCCAACTGGTTGTTATGGCCCATAGGCACTCCCAGGGTGGTTGCTATGCTCTGTGCGTTCTTGCTGTGCGCTTGTCCGTAAAGTACACCCAGGGTCGTAAAGCATAGCGCCACCAGCTAACTTCTGATTGGTTCCTTGTCACAAGGCAGGCACCTAACCTCTAGTGACTAAGACAAGGTTAGCATGTGTTACTGTCATGGCTGCCAAAATGGGGGCTAGTCCCTTCAGAACAACCCTCTTGTCTTTATAAATACTTAGCCTAGAGTATACCATTACAGTAACAGTCGACTCACTAATTCATTGAACACGTTATAAATACCATAAAAGTCCATAGCTACCCCCTCCAATAAGAAGGTTTCTATAGTCACATCCCACTGCAGAATGTTTAACAAGGCCCATTGGTCAATCAGGGTTTCCAGGGTTTCCAAGGCAGAGAGTACAATAGCCATTCTTCCTGTGCCCATGCCCTGTTTATCTCTCTAACACAAACCCAGGGCAAACAGGGAGCTGAATTCAAAATGTCTTTGGCCCATAAGGAGTCTGGGCTCTGACCAATCAGAACAGACTCTGAGTGTGGAACTAGTCTATCCACTCCAAGGCATTCCAGCACCGCCTCAACCGGATGGTCCCAACAGCACTGTAGCTCAGTCACGTCATCATGCTTATATCACATGGGTGGGAAGAGCCAGGTCCACAGAGAGGCCTTCTCCTCCATGTGGCTTCCCCTGGTGGGTGTTAGGACCCCCTGAGAGCCTTTGGGATGGATATTTGAAAGGCCCCTGGTGTTTAGCGCTTGGTTTTTCTTAACCATTGTGTGCCGGGTTTGAAGGGGTGTCCATGTACATGTGTTCTCAGACGAGCAGGGCAAGCAGTACAAGAGCTACGCTGGTGTTGGCCGTGTGGCGGGGGGCCCCGCCTCCTGTCATTACCGGAACAAGAAACTTGAGAGTCCTAGCTCTGGACTTACTTCGGGTGTTCAGGCCACAGGAGTCCTAATGTCTGAAATGATATTTTGATGAGCAGCTGTTGTGATTCAGCATCTGAGAGCAGCTCTTCTCCTGTCTGGTTCTGCTCAGCATGCCAGTAAATGACCACTGGTTTCAGTCCTCACAAGAGCCCAGAGGCTAATATTAGATAATAGTTCTTACCAAAACTGAGTCTTCCCTCTTCCTCTCAAGCCCAGAGGACCCCCCTCCCCCTCTGGCCCTCAGAAGAGCCACCTCTGCAGCCCGGGCTTGTACTTTCAAGATCCATGGAGTCCCACCTGGCCTGGCCACACAGTAGAATGGGAGTATTCTGAGTCACGGCCTCTGCGCCAAGTCCTTGTGATGTATTCACTTCCCTGTCTTCCTCCCTGTAGGTTTGGAAACAGCCATGCTTCACCGAGTCAGACATCTGTCCACAGGGAAACCACGGTGAAGCTCTCCTCTGCTTTGAACACATGTAAGATTTTGCAGCTGTCAAATGGGCCCTGACCACAGGGTAGGGTGGCTCCTGGAGATGCCCTGTGTCTCAAGACAGCATCTACGTGCCAGCTGGTATGGGGCCTATGTCCTCAAAAACAGGCACAGCTGTCTCAGGGTGCCCTGTGGAAAGACCCAGACCCTGACTTAGCAAACAGCTTGGTTATCCGACCTTGAACTGTTTCTCAACCGTGCGTATGTATGTGAGGACAGATAGCCAGAACATTCTTCAAGGCCAGATCACCAGTACAGTCTGGCTGGCTAGTAGCTGGGGCCATTGCCTCTACTTGCTGAATCATTTTAGATCCTTAAATATTCCCAAATTTTAAACTGATGACTTGTATCTAGCAAATAAATACCCTTAAATGATACTCTTTTTCAAGCCCTGTGTAACAGAAATATCTCTTCAGTTCACTGCCAGGTGCAGCTTTATCACTTAGCCTAAATTTTATACATATAAGTAGCTTCCCCCTCTGAAATGGGGGCTCACATACACAGAAACCTATTTATAATTTTTCTTTTGAGAAATGAATAGTTAAGTGGATAGAATTCAAGCAACATAGACACCTCTGCAAAGATGTGGCAGATGTTAGCGTTTGAAATAAAAATAACTTCTTGTCTCATCAAAGCTTTCTATGCTGACTTTCAGATATTCCCAGAAACATGGTTGCTTGACGTGAACACCATTTTTGGCCACACGTTTCTGGTTGAGGAGCTGGAGGTCTTTCTTTGGCTTCCCAGATGCAGGGTCTCTTTAAGTCAGGATCCCACAGAAGGGATGTGAGGAGTGTGCAGAGGGCTTGGCCCTTCAAAGGTCTGATGCGACCATGAGGTGGCTGCTCATGGCAGCTCAGCATAGCATTCTACTGGCATAAACTGGTTCTCTAAGTACATTACTCACAGTCCAGGGACACCCTGGCCTTTGGTTTTGGTACCTTCTGAAGCTGACCCCATACTGATAATCACAGCATATTTTAATCAGTCTTTCTTCTTGAAAAAGTTCACTGTGGCATCCCCAGGATCCAGCAGAGAGTAGAGAACCACAAGATGTCTGAAGCCTGGGTTTGGATCATGGGGGAAAGATCCCTAGAGCTGGAACCTGAGGTCCCTGTGAGGCAGACAGAATTTCAGCCAAGATGATTCGGTTAAAAGGGCAAAGCTCCTGGGTGAGGCAGAAGATGTGGCCTTTGTGTGGTGTTGTCACGACGATCTGCATCATCCATCTGCGATCCTTCTAATGATCACAGATCTAATGTTCACCTGCAACAACAGTGGGTCTTTCTTCCTCAGGGGAAAAATCTGACTCCACCATGATGAATCTGAGTTATTAACAGCTATTGGCCACATAAGCAAATCTACGGCGTGCATTTAACATGTTTAAAATTTTAACATGTAATTTATTTACTATTTACTTATTTGTGAGTGCCCGCTGATACATGTACTTACAGTGCCGTAGAGCTGCCCTGAAGGATCATTGGCTTTCTCTTTCCGCTGGGGGGGGGGCATCCTAGGAATCAAACTGGAGGCAAAGAAGGGTTTTTATCAGCCAAGCTGATTCACCAGCCCCTGACCACATTTAACAGTTTTTATTTGGCCACATAATTTTTGATTATCAGGGCTATCACTTGTAAAATATCCTTTGTCTCTTTCTCCCTGGTGTGCTTACATTGCCCCATTGTTCATCTGACCTAGGTTTAACTTCCTTCCCTTGTGAATCATTGTGTGCCATACTTAGGAATCATTGTGTGCCAAGGCTGCTTCGGTTCCTAGCACCCACATGGTGTCTCACAAAGAGCAGTAACTCTAGTCATGAGGGATCCAGTACCCTCTTCTGGCCTCTACTGGCACTGCACACATGTAGGGTAGACACATATTTTTTAAAAATAGTTTTACTGAAACTACCTTTGGAAAATGCTTTTCGTATTGACAGATATTCAGTCCATTGGCTCTGGAAGCTACAGTTGTAGCCAAATTTCATCAACGGAGGTTAAATCAAACTGCATTCATTTTTAAACAAAATTCTTTAATGAGCCACAACAGCCAAAGCAAGAGCTCCTTCTGGCATAATATGCATTTAGAGAGAACAGCCTCAGACATGGTGGCATGGTGGCACATTGGCAAAACCTCAGAGTGCTGAGGCCAGCTCCTGCCCTTCTAGCCTACTCTCCAGCTCAAATGGAAATAGGCCAATGTTTCAAGAGATTTCTCTCAAGGTAGTGTGAAGCAAACTGGTAACAAGCTGTGTTCCCAAAGAACTGGCCCCACTTAAAAAGACAGATCTAGGTTTCCATTGCAGGAGAGAGCTAAAGACGTACTCTTTACTTTTTTCTCTTCCTAAGATGATCTAGCCAGGAGAGGAAATAGACTTTCCCAAAGCCAATAAAGTTAACCTTCATAAGACTACTATTTGACTCCATCACCTAAAGAGAAACAAAACTTTGTTCTCATTAAGTGAATGCATAAGAATAGACTAGCAAGGCACACATGGAGTCTCCCTGGCATAGGAAAGCAATCATTACTAAACCCTATAGATTTACAAGATTGCAATGACCCAAATGACAACAAGCCTGCATACTGGGGTATTCCCAGCAAACAGTGCCCTTGGGAACAGATAGAGTGGGGTGGGATATGTCCCTACCCTTAGAACAGAGAGAATGCCAGCAGACTGCATTCAGATCTGCTGACATTGTGACTCATGCTCTTTCACATACCAGAGAGGGATAAAAGAGGTGCTAAAATAAACAAGCAGGCCCATGGGGGCTGATGCATGCTGATGTGGCGGGAAAGCCGTGTGCCTGAGACGGCATGAGTGGATTGGAATGCCCGGACCCTAATCTTCACAACAGGTGCCTCCCGGGCATCAACACAGTATGACTTAACACAGCATCAGCAACTGTGAGCATATCTGGATTCTGTAATGATGAATAATGATGGCTATTTATTCAGAAGCATTTTAGAATGCACATAGAGTCATGGTGAGCATTTATTATTCTGTGCATTGTGCTGGGGCACAAGGATGCTACAAAGATATGGAAGGGCATAGTCACTGCTCTCGGATTCCTTGAAGGGTTTATTCGCAATTCTCAAAGGCATAGATTAGATAGACTTACATATAAACAAACCTGGAGGACCGATGACAGATAAGTAAGTAAATAGATGATAGATGCAAAAATGAAACATAATGATTAAGGAGATAGATGATAGCTAATGAGAGAGAAGATAGATAGATGAAAGATAGAGTGTATGTACTTAGAAAGATGATGTTAGACAGATGGAAGATAGATAGGTGATAGGTAGATAATAGATAGATTGATAGATGATAACAGATGGTAGATAGGTGATAGATAGATGACAGACTGATAGATAGATGATAATAGATGGTAGATAGGTGATAGATAGATGACAGACTGACAGATAGATGATAATAGATGTAGATAGGTGATAGATGATTAGATAGATGACAATAATGAAGACAGACAGACAGACAGATGCAAGGCATATAGAGGAGAAAATTAGGTAACAGATAGGTGAAAGATAGATAAGTAGAAACTAGTAATAAAGCTCCCACATGTGGTCTAAAACTTTAGAATGTCTCCAGGTTGTCTATCACAGATGAGGAGACAGGACTATCTGTCTTCTGCTGCTGAGGAGACACTGAAAAACTTTCTGAGTTTTAGAGAAAAGCATTCCCATGGAAAAAAAGGGTCACAAACCAAGATCCGACCCACCAAGGAAAGTGGATGTGGTGGCAGCATCACCTCCACTTTGGTGGATCCCAACTTTTGAGGGAAAACACGGCCCTGCTTCAAAGTATTGGGTGAATACAAACAAACGCAAGCTAAGCATGAACACAGTCCTGATAGGAGGCTGCCAGAGCCATCAGCAGCTGGAGGCTGCCAGGCTGCTTCGGGACTAAAGCTTTGAGTTTGGTTTAACGGGCAGCTGATGGCTAGATGACCCTCTCATCACACAGGAGTCTTCAAAGACCGGCAGTATCGGTGAGTGGGCGAACCAAAACACATTCTCTCACAAGTGTGCATGTCTAGGGAACTTACCCTGTATCAATTCTGGTTCTGGGAAGAGGAGAAGGAAGAATTCTTTGAGAATTAAGAGAATTTATTTTCATCCTTCACACAGGTTTGAGCTCCAGTTCCCAGCACGAACGTGGGCTGCAGAGCATCAAGCTAAGAATTGGACATTCTGAGGCCAGATTGGCAGTGGCCCCCGGTATTTGGCAGGAGTAAACGCAGATCTTCTCAAGGCTAAAGCACCTTCAAAGGGAATGCTTTCAAGAGAGGCACATGCTTCAAAGAAAGGCCTCGGGCTTCAAAGAAAGTTCCAAAATGTCTAAGTGTAAAGAGAAGGGAAAAGGAATCCCAGAACAGATAAGTAAACAAGGTATTGTCAGAGAGAATCTGCAGAGACCACACCCAGCAGATGCAACCAACAGACACTGGACAAACACATAATATAGATATACTTAACAGATTGACAAAACATCTTGACTTGAAAACAAGTAAAAGAAGCTACATAAACTGACAAATCAGAACTGAAGAAAAGCAAGGATATCCCTGGAGAATAAATCTTCGATAAATGCAATTCAAAACTCAGAACAGATACGAAGGACAGATTAGACACAGCCCAGGAAAGAAATGACGAAATGCAGGTGAAACTGATAAAAAAGAGGCCGAGTGGAGACAAGGAGGTGGGAAGCAGTCGGGGGTGGAGAACATGAGAGGAAAGCTGCAGTGAGCACATCCAGCTGTGGAGAGGAACAGTGCTGAGTGCAGATGCAGAAACTTCTCTTGGATTGATGAGACTCCCAGTCAATCCCAATCCTCGGAGTTGGGCTCTTTAGTGCACCTCAAACAGAATCTCAAGCTAAGATGTCCCAGGACCTAAAAGAGAGAGAGAAAAGACAAATGACCACCTAAGAGCCATAGGGAGGCCTGTGATTTCCCCACGAGGCAGGACAGTCCTATCACAGAACGCTGGAAGTAAATAACCCTTAACTAGCGCAGGGGTCCATTGGGAAAGCCTTTCAGTAAAGTGACGAGCAACAACGAGAGACGTTTTTCCCACTAGGCCCTCACTAATGGACATCCTCTTGAGCACACGCTCCGGGGAGGGAAATGGTCCCAGAAAGAGGGTGGGACAGAGAGGAAGGAAGCACACGGGTATCACAAACAACACAAGGCAAAAGTCGCACCCATGTGTTCATTCCTCAGAAAAGCATCTATGCAAATGTGGAACGCATATCTCTGGGGCATGCATCAAGGGGGAAATTCACGTGGTACACACACTGAATTTCAGGTAATGTTTGCTGGCTCCCAGAGAAAGCAAAATGAGTTATGGTGGCTATGTTCTACTTCTATAACCGAGTCACTGTTTTCAGAAGTTACCTTTCTGTTGCTGGGATAAAACACCACACCCAAGGTAACTTAAAGAAAGTTTTATTTTTTCTATGGTTCTTAAGGTTCGGGAGCATAGTGGGGGAGTGTGGCTGTAGTTCAAACGGAGAGGGCATGTCTTGAACCACCAAGCGGGGAGAACTGGGACTGGCCCCATTGTTTAAACTCTCAAAGCCCAACCTCCCGGTGATGTACTTCCTCCAAAGCCACACCTTCTAAGCACCCCCCCCCCAACACTGCCACTAATGGATGGCCAAGTGCTCAGAGACACTAGCCTATGGGGACATTCTCATTCAAACCACATTATTTTACATTGTTTGTACCTTTGGTATGTTTGAGGTTTCATGTGATTTGGAAGATTCAAATATTCTCTCAAAACACACCTCAAAACTATAGCTAGTATGTTTTGAACCAAAAGCTCTAAATTTGATCCACTTCACATGCATGTCTGGAACATGCTTCCTGCACTGTGCTCCAGAGAGACTGAAAGACAGATGGGAAATAGGAAAGATTTTATCCCATATGACATATCCCAAAATCAGTATTAGGTCACAGACAAACTGACCATCTGATATTGGTATCCTCCAGATCTTTTCATGTGACACTTTGGCTGTGTGTGTGTGTGTGTGTGTGTGTGTGTGTGTGTGTGTGTGTGTGTGTGTGTGTGGGATAATATATAAATATGCTTATGTGGGTGGCCAGGGCCAGGTTCTGACCCTAACAACTTCAGTGACACTCATAGGTCCCAAAAGGCAAATGTAAAGATATATTCACGCACAATACAGAAGGAATTGATGGCTGAGGAGCAGTTAGTAAAGTCAAGACAGTTCCAGGCCTCAGGAAATGAGACTGGACAAGGGGCAGGTGTCATCCCAACACCGCACAAAGCAAGCCAATGTCAACAGCCAGCTGCAGGTTCTGTTAGGAGCCTGGGCAGCTGCCAGTGTGGAGAAGGTGCAGGGTGAGGCACCAGTGTTACCACAGCACCTGTTGTCCTACATTGATGTGGCCAGAGGCTTCTGGACAGTTGGCAGAGGTCACAGACAGGGAAGTGCACAGGGCAGACACCTGAGAACTCCTCCTTGGGAGCTCTGGCCGGGCCCAGCCCAGCCCAGCAGGAATGCTGGAGTCGCAAAGTCTACAGGAGAAACAAGACCCAAGTGGGGCAGGAAGTGTTGGCCAGTTTAGTAAAAGATAACATGGATGCTTTAAAAGAAAGGCAGAATGGACAAGTTTAATCTATTTGCTGAAATAAAAGTACCCCACTATATAAATAAGTGACTTATTTATTTTATTGTTTATGGCACATTGTTTCACAGCACATAAGGAGGTAGTTGTTTGGGTGGAGGAAATAATTATAACCAGGTTTACTTATTCTACATTAAATGATTGATTTTTATTAGTCTGTGGGGGTCTACATGGAATGAACTCTATAGCTAGTTAACATGAGCCTTGCTTGAAATTTTGCTCTACTTGGGTAAATTTATTTTAAGGATATTTATTGAACATACTCAATATGCAGGTCTGCTGTTAGGTTCCTGGGCTACCAGGATGAAGTGGGTACTGTGTTTGTCTTCAAGAGTAAGATGCAAACAGTGGGAAGCAAGGGCTGGCAGTGGGGAGAAAGCCCAGTTTCAGAATGGGGTTACCTTTTCTGTAGAAAGTTTATAAACAAAATACCCAATAAATTTCAGTAATTCTAAACAGTATCAGTAATAATATATTCCTGTAAAAATATTCATGGTTTGGCAAAGCATAGCCTGTGGGTTAAATCCAGGCAGCTGTCTGTTTTTATAAATAAAGTTTTATTAGAACAACTCTTATTCACTTATGTCTTATCCATGCCAGCTTTCTTTTATACCATGGTGACTGAGTTGAGTGGTTGTGACAGAGGCCAGATGGCCACAGAGAATAAAATATTTACTATCTGGCCTTTGCAGAGGAAGCTTGCTGACCTCGGTTCTAAGTCATAAACAACCACTGCCACATACGGGATAATGCGAGCGTCCGAGTCAGCGTCAGCCTCAATTAGCACTTTTTATTACTTGTCCCTTAATAAACAGCATGTTCCACGGCACAGTTCATTCTGGAAGTCCCAGTTGTATAATGTCGCCCAAGGGCTCGGCTGCATGCATGTGTTTGGAATAAACTTGTCATTGTTTGGGCTCGTTCCTGTCCCCAAGCCATATGACATGCCTGGGAGTGGCTTCCAAGAGAACGGCCACACCCCCTGATTGTACCATCTTAGAAACAGGACTGGCGCTGCATTGGCCTTTTACCATCTGCATCTACGGCTGCTGGGGCTTACGTCCCTGCCTAACAGTTAGTGTGACAAAGCAGGTGGACCCTGGGAAGTGTTGTCACTTTACTTACACACAAATTTGTCTCTGACACATTTTTCTATGACTTAATGGCATCTTTAGATTGGCATTAATTTACCCATAAATGGTGGCTATCACATGACTGTTATATAAGAGGAAGTTGACGAGTCTTACCTCCCAAGGTATGTGACCATTCCACGCTATCTCATGAAGCAAGGCCAAAGGTCACGAGGAATTCGGCATGCAGAGTGCCACAGAGGCCATGGGTGAAGACAACCTTGCCAATTGGAGGAAATCAGGCCCCTTGTTTTCAGGAACCGTGAGGATAGGAATGCTTGTGTTTGATCACGTGCTAGCCTTGACCATGTGCAAAAGTGACCCCATTTCTCCCCAGGACAAACATGGGAGAACTTGGTTGGTGGGCCATGGAAATTCAAGCATGTGCATGACACCCAAGGGGATTGTCATGGTGGTGAGGGTAGGAAGAGAGGAGAAAGTTCTGAGAGCTAGCCTTCCCTCCCTGCGGACAACTTCCGATGTCAGCCCAGAGGGTTATCCTAAGGGAGTGAAACGGCCTTTTGAACTTGCCCACACAGCACACTTTCAGAGCCACCAAGAAGGACAGCTGCCCAGACCCGTGAGGCTTAACACTGCAATGGGGATTCAGACTCGGACTTGGGCCCTGATGTGTCGTTTGCTTGTTCTCAGAGGGCTGAAGGCAGCATGGTTTGAGGAGTCTGGTTGAGCTCTAGACACTGCCATAGAACAGAAAGCCATGTCTCTAAGCCTGGGCGGTAGAGTGTACAATAGGGTGCTCTGCTTCCAAGAGCAGATGCTGGGTCTTACATTGCATGAGTCTTACAAGAGAGTGTGGCCTGGGAGGTATGCTCTTAACAAGCTGCATGAGCAGTCCTTCTTCTGTGGACAGTCTGAGGCTTGAGATGAAGGCTAATACACAGTCAGCCTTCTCCAGCTGCAGCCCCAGCTCCAGGTGTGGCCTGAATTCAGCTCAGAATACTTATATACAACCCATGTGTCGTATTCTATAGTTTTTGTGCTAAAGTTGCAAAGTATAGAATTTAAGAACTGCATAAATATAAAATGTTATGCATAGGATATTTTAAAAATGAGACATATAAGAATGGTTCATCACTTAGAGATCTAGGCATCCCATGTCTGTCAGCCTGTTAATTTATTCTGTGAAATAGGTCCAATCTCAGAGCATTCCATTATATGAATGTCTCGCCTGTACCTGATTTTACAAGGGGAGAAACTAAGACATGGAACTGAATAGTTCCCAAGATCATCAGAGCTACAGAATTTCAGTGAGGATACAGCTCAGTTGGTAGATCCCTTACCTAGCATGCAGCTCCCAGTCTGCTATAAAACTTGACTTGGTGACACAGGCCTGCAATCCCAGCTCTTGCAGAGTGGAGGAAGAGGAGGAGAAGTTCAAAGCTATGCCAGGATACACAGGGAGCTTGAACCAGCCTGTGTTCATGAGATCCTGTTTCTCTCTCCCCGACTCCCACTCTCTCAGGATTTGAACACTGGCTGACTGGGGAGGCATCATGGTGGAGTGTTAGGCATGGTTGTCTCAGGTGGGTTAGACAGACTGGACCCGTTCTAAATAGATCCTCAAGCCTGGAACATGTGGTTCTCTGTTCAGAGCCATGACAAGCAACAGAACTATGGGAAATCAGGAATCCCGACCCGGGCTCCGTTTTAGGTTTTGTCAGCATCAGTGTTGAAATCCCTGTAGCAGTCTCCTGTGGCCCTCCCACAATTCCAAAGTTCTGTCCCAGCTGGAGTGTCAAATTGGAAGGCAGGACATTTGTTGTATGGGTCGTTGGGTCTGAATTTGGCTCAAGGTTCCTGTGATTTCCAAAGGAAACAACTAGCCACACGTGAGAACCTTACAACAATATAAATTCCTGGCTCCTGGGGATCCTCCCTCTGACCACTAGGAAGAAGATCATGAATAAATTCACTCACTTTTGCATGGCCTAAAAGATGGGAACAGGCCCCCTCAAATCTACTCCAATTTGTAAACTGTCTTTCCTTGTTTGGGTTCCTTGAGCTTTCCTGTGGGAATCCTGACCATTTTTCTTTCCTCTGTGTGTGTCTTACTCTTCCTCCTTTCCCCTCCTCTCCCCACCTTTCCTCTCTCCTTCATCCTTCGTCCTCTTTCTTGCCTCTCTCCCTCCCATCCTTTCTTTTAGCCACAAATACAAAGCCCATTCTTCATTACACACATTGTCCTAGGTCTGGGAAAAGTCACCCTAAAGAAACTTACACTGGAGTGCATATATACCAAGAACACTAAGAGGTTCATGAAGCTACACCATTGCCTTCCCGTAGCGGTCTCGGCTCTAATGATTCCTGGAAGCTGCAACTGTTGAGTAGATTAGGAGAAAGAAAAGCAACTTCCCCAGCTATTCCTGCTGGGCCCTCAGGACTGCTCATGGCTTCTCGGCCACAGGTCCACTGACTTGTGCTCATTCATTTCTGTGAGTCATGAAGGAGTCACCGCTGACCCTGACCCATACCAAGGATGGTCATTTATTTACCCTTTGAAACGTGATCAGGTGGCCCATTAATTTTGCAACATTAATTCTAAGAGGAAATTAGATTCCAACCAGAGTCATTTGTCTTTTGATAATAGAGCCACAAGAAGAGAACATCGATAATCACAATGTAATTTTCTGAGTTAGGAAGTGGCTAAGACATTGGTGTCCGGATTTCTGTACATCTAAGGCTTTCGTGGCATTTTCTTAAGTGAAAAATTTGTTTTGAGACTTGGGGGAAGACCACTTCAAAGGACCATTTCTCCCCAAGATGTAGCCGAGACATTTCTGTGCAAATGAAAAAGTCATTTACACATTGTTGCGGGATTACTCTTTCCCAGTGTTCTTCTTATCGAGATGAATCTATTAGAGCCAGGGAGATGGCTTCACTGGTAAAGTACTTACAGGCAAGCACAGCAGCCCGAGTTTGGTCCCCAGAACCCATGTAAAAAGGTAGGCACAGTAGCATATCCTTGGAACCCCAGCACTGAGGGAGAGAGTCCGATCCTTGAGATTCCTTGATTGGGCTGGAGTGCCTCAGGTCCCAGTGAGAGACACCATGTCACAGAGCACGGTGGATGGCCAGCACCTAAGGAGCAATACCTGATGTTGACCTCTGACCTTTACATACACATACTTGTGCACTCATGTGTGCTTTCACACACACAGAGGGAGGGAGGGAGGGTGGGAGAGAAAGAGTAGGTCTAATTGAGAAGGGTGTCCGCTTGAGCACAGCTGGTCACAGGGGTTCAGGGTGTCACTGAGTGATCCAT